GAGGCTCCAGTCCTTCAATTGCACTTGAAAGGGGTAAATACAAACTCTAAGACTTGGCTCAAAAATGCAAATGACAAGTGCTAGGTGATGGAGCCTCAAGGGGAATGACCCTTGACTTGGGCATGGCAGAAGCGGCTTCAGTTTCTCAAACTAGCTATAGAACTTGGGTTTGGGGTTTTTTAAATTCCTAATATTATTATAAATTACATTAAAAGTCTGCTAAAATAGTACATAATACATTTTTAAAACTGCCATGATTCTTCCTGAACACCTATTTTCAACTTTTGTTCTTATTTCTTCATGAACAACCATCCATGATGGGCTCTGGTCTGTGGATTACAGTTTGACTATAACTGATACTTTCAGGGACAGGAGATTTACCCAAACCCTGCCTTCCCTGTCCTGGCCTGCACGATGGTGGCAGAGCCCCTCTGGAACAAGGCAACTTCCATCCTTACAGGCTGGAGATTTGTAAGTGAGACCCACCATGAAAAGTGTGATTTTATGGCCTCTCCAGACTGTATTCCTCCTTGATTGTATCTACTCACCCCCTTCGCTCTCACAAGGAATTCTAGGGGATTCGTGCAAATAAAACAGAATCATTTAAAAAGATGACAAGAAGCCCAGTGAAATGCAGGGTTAGCTAACGTGGGAGAAGCTGCCCCAATCTGAGTCCCAGACAGAGTCCCGAGTGTGTAGGTGGCCAAGTCACATCAAGTTAGATGTGAGAGGTGGGTGATGCTTTTGCATTCTGGAAGGACTGAGTACCATGGTGAGCTTTCAAGGGATCAAGATGATGCATATTCAACTTGGTGATATCAAACAAGATTTCTGGTCATACATATTTTACCTATGGTCATTTCTAACATTGCTCTTCAATAAAAGGATGTCCACTGGTGGTTCTGTGGAGGAGCATCGTTCCCAGTACCCTGAGATCCTACAACACCAAGGGTGTCGAACTGGCATCTGGATTTCTCTAGTTTCATAGGCTAGCTGGTACCATCACCAGCCTCAGGGCTGCAGGGAGAGGCGGAGAGAGAGAGAGGGACAGACGCAGAGATTCAGAGGGACAAACATAGACAGACAGAGAGAGACGAGGACAGACAGACACACAGAGAGACAGAGAGACAGAGACAGAGGTGGAGAGGCGCGCACTCACAGAGAGAGGGGCAGACAAACAGGGTGAAGTGAGAAGGAAGGATTGGCAGGAGGGACAGGCTGCCCTGGGAGGGACCCGCAGCGGGGCAGGCTCACCGGGGAACGCCAGCTCAGGGAGTCTGGCTTGCTTGGGCCCTTCCCAGTTGAGAAGCCTCAGAGCCTGGCTCAGCCCTCCCAGGTCCCATGTTGTCTGACACAAGCAACCTCTTCCTCCCTGTGACTGCTCATCTCTCCCTTCCTCCTCCCCCTCACTCTCCCCCCATACACCCTTTGAGGCTGTGGGTCCTGCAGAAAGCCTTTCGAGCTCTCTTTCACTCTCCCTGAATTCCACATGCACCTTTGCCTCACAGATATCAGGGTCCACGGTGGCGGGGGGTGGGGGGGAAGCCTCTATTCCACCTGGGGCGGAGAAGACCCCTGTGTGTGAAGAACCAGTAGAGCCAGCACCAGGGAAGGTTGTGCAGAGAGAAAGTTCTAGAGTGTGTGGAGGGGTGATGGCCAAGCTGGCATTCCTCAGGGTCTGGACACAGGCTCAGAGCAGGGTGTGGGGTGCGGTGGGCTGGGGAGGAGGGCAGAGAAGCAGTGAAAGTGGGGAGAACCGAGAGCACTGCACTGGGAGTCTGTCTCAGGCTGCTGAGCTGGCTCAGGGGTGGGAGAAGACTGGACGTGGCCTCCCAGGGAACTTCCGGGGTGGGCTGGGGTGACATCCACTCCAGGTACCACTCAGAGCTGGGGAGATCTAGGTACAGCAGAGACTGGTGGGGTGCTGGGTGGCAGGAAAGGGGAACCGACAGGAAAAGGAGGGCCAGGCTCTCTGTGCAGGTAAAGACACTGAGCCAGAACTCCAGGAGGGTTAGAGGGGAGGGTGGAAGGGAGCTGAGAACAGACGCGGAAGGTGGGGAGATGGGGCACTACAGTCTGGTGCAGGAGATGGAGGGGCCGAGCTTTGTGGGGAGGGGGCAGGGGAGAAAACAGGCTGATCTCCAGGGTCAGCCCCAGGGGAGGGGAGGGGATCACAAGACGCCATCAGCCCAGACACGTGAAGTGGGAGGCAGGTGCTGGTAGCACATCACCAGCTGTGAACTGAGCATAGTTCTGCAAGGTTTCCGTGTGTTCCCCTGGACCATGATGCCTGTGCTGTGTTCACATAGATCTTTCTGATCAATTCTAACTAAACAAGAATTCAGTCTGGATCAGGGGAGTGTGGGGGAAGAAGCTAGCGCGTCCTCGTAGGTCTGCAGTACATGGCCCCATGGGACGCTGGTGGCCGGCCTCTGGGATCACATGCCCAGGCCTGTGTTCTGCCACCGCCCAGGTCCCTTCCCTGTCACCCGAGGAGACCAGAACACACGTTCTCGGAGGTCTCTGCAACTTCCAACGTTCTGGTCTTAGGGCTCTCTGTCTGTGCCTCTGCTGGGACCTGTCTCTGGACCTTGAACATCTAGGGTGAAGGACACTTCCAAGATGGTCCTGGGGAGGCGGTTGGCTCTTTAAATCCCCACGGGATGCAGCACCACCGCCTCCTCTCCTTCCACCCTCCCACCAAGACTACACCAACTTCAAAGCCTAATTACTCCCAATTTGGGCTGTTTCCTTGTTTCTCCAGGTGAGGAAGTCCCTGCCACTTTCACTTTCATATGCAAGGAGTTGGGGGTGGGGTGGGGGGAAGTGATGAGAGCGGGGGCTTCATTTTGGGGAGGGAAGGTGAAACAGAATACCAGTTAGGGAGGCTGAGTGTGAAGGTGAGAAGTTATAAAGGGAGGGTCTCCCCCCTACTCCAAGGCCTCACTGAGGGGTGGGGGAGCAGGAGAGGGGGTTGGCGAGAAAAAAGGAGCCACCTGTGGGAAACTCCATCAGGTTGGATATGAAGACAGAGAGCCTTCCTGCTGCTGTTAAACGCCATTTCTTTCTTTGTGAGCCCTCCTTTTCATTATGCTCATGTGCACCGTGGAGAGACCACATCCTTGCTGTGTCCAGATGGCCTGGGGGCAAAGGGAAGGAAGAGAGAAAAGTGCTGGTCCTCAGTGAGCCCTGGGGTTGTGGCCAGCAAAGATGCTTCTTCTCAAGAAACAAGCGAGCAAAGCGGGGCGGGGCGGCTCCGTGGCGCCCTCTTCCCTTCGGGGTTAGAGTTGCTCTAGACTCTTGATTGGGTGGGTCATTGAAACGGAGGGGGTGGGGACAGGACGCCCCTCCCCACTCACCGGGAGCGTGCCGGAAGCACCCAGCAGGCCCCAGGATCTGTCGGATGGAACACGTCTGGCCCCGGCGCAAAGGGTGGCATAGGTGTGTTGAGGGGAGCAAGGCCAGGGACGCTCAGGGCCGAGAGGACAGAGATTCAACGGCGTTGGGTGGCCAGAGGCTGGTGACAGGGCCCTTCTTTATGGAAGAAGCGCGGGGGCGAAGGCGCTTCCTCTAGCGCCCAGGAATGCAGCGGCGGCGGGTTCTAATTAGAGGCCCCCGCGGGAGCAGGCAGCCGAGGGCTCTCTCCGACGCGCTCCCCTGGTTCCCCCGGAGTCAGTGTCCCCGCGTTCGTGGGCACGCCCGCTGCGGTCAGGAGCTGCAGGTGCCGCGCGGGTGCGGGACGCGCTGGGGTCTCCGCAGCACGTCCCCGCCGCCCCGCCACCTCTCCCGAGCCCTCGGACCCTCCGGTGCCTCCTTGAGCCCCGCCCCGTCCCGCCAGGCTGCGCCTGGACCCGCGCCCCACACCTAGGGCGCCCCCGCTCCTGAACAATCTCGAAGAGAAAAATTATTATCGGATTAGATGTACTTCGGCTCACTCAATCTCCCCCCGCCCCAACTTCCCCTCGGCATAATTATTATAATTCCAGGCAAGCCGTCGGAGAGAGTTCCTGGTGTGTGTGTGTGTGAGTGTGTGCGTGTGTGTGTGTGTGTGTGCGCGCGCGCATGTGTATGTGAAGGTTTGTCTCTGATCTCGGTCTCCTCCAGCGGCGCGTTCAGGCCCCTCGGCTCCCGTATTTCCCCCAGCTGTGTTCGTCAAATCTCGGGCATCCCAGAGCGCCCCTGCCCTCTCCCCTGGGGAGCTGGAGCGACCCTTGCCTGTGGGGGCTCTACCGAAGTAGCTTCCCTCCTCCCCTCGGGATTTGTGCTGTAGACCCTTAGGACCGTCTCTTGGTTCATCTGCACTTCCATCACCAGGTTTAGGAGGGTTTCACGGGAATGTGTCTTGTCTGGAGTGCAAGACGTCTCCGATGTGGGTTCGCGGAGCCTCTCACTAAGGAGCCCTCAAACTCGATGCTTTCTCCCTCTTCACCTCTCCCGAAGCCCCTTCTTACCATCTCGGTCGGGACCGCGGCAGGAAGACGCAGCAGGGCCAGGTGCTGGCCCCGGTGCGCCCGCCACTCCCGGCCGGGTCCCCGCAGTCTTTACGTAACTACGCTGCTTCGAGCTGTTCGGTCTTGTCTCACTGACTTTGCTTTAAGGTGTGTGTGTGCGTGTGTGGTGTGTAAGACATGTCCTAAGGAAAGTCTCCGGCGGATCTCCCTCTCCCAGCTCGCCCTCCTGGCTTCTCGTGACCTCGGGCTGCCCAAGCGTTCGTGCCACCCTTGTGGATCCAGTTTCTGCCTCTCGCAGCTCACTGCTCGCCCCGTCCGACGCCGGGAGCTCCGCTCTGCCCGAGAGATCAATGTCCCCGGAAACTCCGCCACCCGCGTCCCAGCCCCGGCCCGAACAGGTCGAAAGTGGCCGCCAAGGAAAACAAACCACCCGCGGAACAGGAGGGCAGGGCAGAGCGCGGGCTCCGGGCCACCGCGGGGCCCTGCCCGAGGGGACGGTGACTGGGGGACGCGCACAGCCTGGGGAGAACGTGAGGAAGGCTCACTCACCACCAGATCGGGTAGTTGCCCAGGGCTTGCTTCAGGCCGTAGAGGAATATGAAATATCCGAGCGGGGCCATCGCCGGGCGGGAGATCTCGGAGGGCCAGGAGTCCGCCCCGAGAGCGCGGGCGCCGGAGCGGGCCGGGCCCTGGGAGCTCGCGGGCGGCGGCGCTGGGCCCTCCTGCGGCCGCGGGGTGCGCGGGGTGCGCGGGTGAGCGCGGGTGCGCGGGCTCCGAGGGCGGCGCTGAGCCAGGTGGGCCGGCAGCCGGGCGGCGGGCCGGGGCCCGGGGCAGCGCGGGACGGCGGGGGCGGGGCAGCGCCGCGGGGGGCGCCCGCCGGGGCCGGGGCCGGGGCGGGGCAGGCAGGGGGCGGGCGGGGCCCTGGGAGCTAGCTCGGAGGCGGCTGCGGCGCCGGCCCCTCCCGTGGCCGCGGGGAGCGCGGGGGTGCCAGGGGTGTACGGGGGTGCGCGGGTGCGCCGGCTGCACGGGTTGCGTTGTGCCGGACGGGCAGCTGGCCAGGCGGCGGCCGGACAGAGGTTACAGAGTCCGCAGGTATCCCCTCCGAGCTCCCGGGCCGCGCCCCCTCGGGGCTCATGGAAGGTTCCTGAGGTTTGCTGCCCCGCGCTCCCTGCACTCACTGGGGGACGCGCTGCCCCGCTGTCGATCCTGCTCCGGTTTGGTCGCGCGCTCTGCCCCTTGCCCTCAGGTGGTTGGGCTGCGGCTCCATTTCGTCCATCCCCTTACTGGGGGGCCGTTCGTCCGAGGCTGGGCTCCTTGAGCCGCGCCTTGCGGCTCTGCTGGGAGCTGGGCCAATGGCGAGCGGCCAGGACAGGGGGAGGCCTGCCTGGGGACAGTTGCTGGGTGGGCATCTAGGGTGCAACCACGTTTCTGAAGGTCACTATTGGGAAACAGTCCAGCTCTGTTTAGGGGCCAGGTGTTGATGGCTCCGCGTTCTCCCCCACACCCTGCTGGGGAAGGGAACAGCAGTCCTGGCGCTTCTGGGCCCCAGGGACAGTGTAGCCGATCGGTGCCCAGGCTCTGGGACCACTGACTGCAGAGTCTGCCCAGGGCGGCTGGCTTCTTCAACCAGAAGCGATTTCTGACAATTCGGGTAAGCCTTATGATTTTTGCTGATGGGGAAAGGGAAGACCAGAGAGGGTAAGTGACTTATCCAAGGTCACAAAGAGTGGCTAGCCAGTTCTCTAGCTCCTACTCCACTGCAAAGCTGTGTTTGCATATTCATCTGTAGCCCAGGGAGACAGGAGCCAGAGTTATTTGGGGAGAGGAAGATCCAAGTCAAGAGGTCTTCCCGGTTTCCCTTCCCTCCCCCACTTTGTGTATTAGCAGGAGACCAGTCAGTCTCAATGACTGTGAAGAAAGGCGGGCAGGAATCCATGCTAGTGTTTTGCAATTGAGAGGAGGACTATGAATAAAAATCCCAACTCCAGGCTCTTCTGTATTGTCTCTTCGTGTGGACCATCGGCCTCTCCAGAGCCCCTGAGCCTTGCCTTACCACATGATCTGCAGAGTGTGTGGCTCCACCAAGAGGCCTCTGGCTGGCATGTGGCTGCTTCTTAGGGCAGGGAGTGAATTAGTGACCCTACAGGTTTAGCACTGGCTGGAGAACTAGAAGCAGGCCAGACCCTGTGACATGCTGGCCCATCCACCTTGGTTTTCCCATCTGTAGAGGGTGCCTGTGGGGTCCTATCGATGGGGAGTAAGAGCCATTCTCTTTCAAGGAGTGTTGCCTTTTCCCAGCACTGCCAGTGGGATCCAGTTGAGTCTACGCATGCCTGGTCCTTCTGCGCCTCCTCTGAGTCACCGTGCCCCCTCGCCCGCAGAGGAAAGGAGGGAAGAGTTTGGGAATGAGGCAGGTTGGGGAGTTAGCTCGTCCTCTTCTGGACTTCCCCTCTCTCAGTGAAAATCCCACCCAATTATCGCATTACTGGGGACCTGGGCTGTGGGAGTAGGGTGGGGCCAATCCTGATGCAGCAGGCTCCCACCCCCCTCCCCAGCTGTGGGGCCCTGGGATTAGAGGCTGCTGGCTCCTCACATACAAGGGGAGTGGATGGCTGTGTCCTGCCCAACGACGGACTGTCCCGCTGCGACGGGCTCTGGAGGGGACGGAGCTGGTGGGTGCTGTCTCCGCAGTCCTGCCTCCTGCCTCCTCATCTGCCACGCCCTTCCTGTCTTCCTTTGCTGCCTCTTCACCCTCATTTGATCCCTGCTTGCTGCTTTTGCTGTTTAGTTGCTAAGTCATGTCCGACCCTGGTGACCCCGTGGACAGCCCACCAGGCTCCTCTGTCCATGGGGCTTCTCAGGCAAGAATACTGGAGTGAGTTGCCATTTCCTTCTCCAGGGGATCTTCCTTACCTGGGGACTGAACCCATATTTCCTCCATTGCCGGTGGATTCATTACCGCTAAGCCACTGGGGAATGAATCAACCCATTCATTTGGTCTGTGCTCTCTGCCTAAGCTATGTGGCGGAGAGGGAGAGAGAGCTGGGCACCCTGAGCTTGGGAAGCCTCCTATGGTGCAGGGAGAGAGACAGAGAGATAACTGCTCCGATTCCTCTCCCACATGAAGACTCCCAGGTCTTTAGAGTTCCCTGAAAAATGTGCATCACAGTGTGCCTTTGAGCGAGCTGCAGCCAGGGCAAGTTGCATGGTGGCGCCACGCTGGGGGCTTCCCGAGCTGGCATGGTGATCTTGCAGGGTTCTTTTCCTTTGCCACCATTCTGTAGTTTTTTGGAGGCTTTGACCTCAAACAGCCCATGTAAGTGTAGAGAAAAGGGGGAACAGCGATCCCTAGTTGGGTGGCAGGACCTCAGAGGGAAGTCTGGAGAGCAGTGCCACCCAAGTCCAGATGGTGAGGACCACCAGCTCTCCACAGGCCCTGTGAGGCTCTCATGGGGTTGTGGCATGGGGAAACGGGGATCCCACTGCATTCTCTGGGCATCATAGAAGCCCCTTGAGGAGCCCAGGATCATGGGGGTGGGGACCGTCCCCAGGCTGGGGTAGTGAAGAATACAGGGGCAGGAGGGGGATGTTTCTATCCTAGCTGAGTCGGTGGAACTCTTTCCTGCCCCCTGATGTTCAGCTGGGAGTTCTGCAGCCTGACTTAAGGACAGAGTCAGCTTTGTGGCGTGGCATGTCTGCTCTGCACTGCTGCTCGCTGGTCATGCGGGCCGTGGAGTCTGGGTTCCTTCCCTGAAGGTGAAGGGGAGGATGCCTTCCTGGCAGCGCCGTCTGCTGTCACACAGAGGGAGCTTCTAGGACTGGCCCGTGGCCACAGGTCTAATACAGCATTCTGAAGAATTATGGATGCCCTTGGAGAAAAGTTTGTGTTTTTTTTTTTCCTCACCACAGATCTTCCAGAGGCCCGTTGGGGCTGCGTTCCTTCCAGAGTAGTCCCAGAGGGGAAGGAAGGTATGGTCCCAGGAGCGTTGGCGGTCCCTGCTAGGAAACAGGGAAGGGAGGGCAAGGACCCAGTTGTGGGGGAAGGAGCCCAGATGTAAGGGCAGTTTGCTTTCTGAGCCAGTGAACCCTCGTCCATGGTAGCGTTTGAATCCCAGTCTGGTAGGTATCAGGTAGAAATCCTTCCGGTACTGGGGAGAGGGGAGCCAGGCTTTCAGACACTAAATACCTAATCATTCTCTTTCTTCTTTTTCAAAAAGTTGAGGGATTAAAAAATAAAGTGGCAAAAAACATTTTTTTTTAAGTTGAGGGGAGGCAGGAAAGGCTTTGGGTAGCTGAGAAGCCCTGAAGCTGTGACCTTGGAGGGGCTACGAGAGAACAGGGTGAAGGTCTACAGTCAAAGGAGGGGTGCTCTTTTTACCTCCAGACCCATTTGGTTCTAAGCTCTTTCTGGCAGCTTCCCCGACATGTTGTGGGGCTGTCATTACTGGGACACCTGCTCTTCAGAGGTAGGTGCTTATACTCAGAGGCAGAATTTCTGTCCATTTTCTGTCATTGGTTTTTTGCCTGAGGTCAAAAAATGCATAATAGTTTTGTTTAGCAAGTAGTTAGGTCCAAATAATGTATTAGTTAGTAGCTCTTGGGAAAAGAAATTTATATAAGTTAAAAGAAAAAAATGCTATATTTATTTCATCCTCACATAACTGCAGTCACTTACCCATGGGAAGTGTGTGCCTGCAGCCTCAGGGGAGACACTTTGCTTCCTGTTCTTCATCAGTTTTCACTTGTGCTTGCATTCTAATCAGAGCAAAAGCCAGAAACTGAGCTTCACAAAGGAAGATGCCACTGTCCAAGCTGAAACAGAATTACCTGGAGCTAGTAGGTATCTGTCCTACAGATGACCATATTGCTACCTGTTCCTTGAACATTTAAAATATCCTGCAGTACCCTGGGAATTTGCTGTGGCACTCCACAGTACCTTGGCACACACTTTGGGAACTGATTCTTAAGTGAGCAGCTCATGAGACGTGGGAGTCATCTTGGCTTTTCTGCTGATGCCGCCCTCTCCTGGCCGCAGGTACATGTCTTCATGTGTCCTGCCTTGTGTCTAATCCTGCTGTGTGTGTGCATTGGTCCTTACTGTTGGCCCATATCTTTTCAACTTGGTTTGTAGTTTTGTTAATGTTCGAAGAATCTCTCCTCTGCAGTTCAGATCTAGTGAACTTCTCCCCTCCTCTTGTCCCTCTGGAAGATTCTCCTGGTAAAGGCGGGCAGGCAGATCAGATGACTTCCCAGATTCTCTTTGAGGTAGTGACTCCACCACATGCTCTGGGTGCCCAGGGCTCTGCCCAGTGCTGTGGGCCGTGGCCTCATCCAGTGCCCCCTGGAAGCATCTGTCTCTGAAGGGGACAAGGAGGCAAGGAGGCTCGGTGACAGCTCTCCCCAGATCCCCAGGAGTCAAGGCAAGACTGGGGTCTCAGTTTCTCTCAAACTTGCATACCTGTAGATAATGTAAGTCCTTCTGAGATTCAGTTACCAGTGGAGGGACTCATAATTCTGAAGGCTGCATGGCAGAAGCCTGAAGAGTTTATGGCTGGGATGGAGAGGGGGTTCGGGGTGGTGGCTCGGCAGGTAAAGAACCTGCCTGCAATGCAGGAGACAC